GTGTGTTGCTGTAGGGCTGTTGGGATGCCTAGGAGAGCAAATATCCTCTGCCTCCTTTTCTGGTTTATCTTTCAGTCTACACTATGCCTGGTTTCACAGCCGAGGTATTCCTACGTTTCAAAGCCTGACTCGGCTCTTGTCATTCCGCTAGAGAAAATGGAGTTGCGCTCGTTTGCGTGTGAAGCTTCATTTAATCCATCACTTGCGGAAGCTTCCCTGGTCAATTGCTTGCATACTGAGCCACTGCTCGTCCTGTGACCGCCTGGTGTTATATCTCGAGTAAATCCGAGAAAAGCCACTGATAAACCAGTTTTCTACGTTGTTGCATTTTGCGGACTAAAGCTCCACATTTCTCGACATACCGACCAGTTGATATATTCCCCTAGCTACCATCTAAATTTTCCGAAGGCCTGTTTTTGACCTTTCTTCCGCACGAAACGATTCCTCAGTGTCTATTGAAATAATTTAATTGTACTGATTTCTACACATAAAGAAGTTTCGCTACATCCTTAGTCACCCTTGAAGTACTTATCCATCCAGGGACGCGCTCTATGAAGCACTCGGCTTCATTATTCGGAATGCACAAATCGACGTGCATCCCCAACGACTGCTTACATCTTCAGGTTCTTGCTCAGCCGAACGCCCATCATATGTTATTGGTCTGTCTAGTATCATCGACCCATCCATACACATTTGTCAGCTAAAAAATATGGAATGCTATCAGCAGTGGTGATGCTGCGTTTACATCGGCTTGCAAGCCGACCTCGGATACCTTAAGAAGCGTTGCGTCGCGATGGAATTCCATCGCCGGTGCCCCAGCAGCATCCCAGCCTTCTAGGCAATATAGCGACTGAATGCAGAAACTTTCAAGCATTAGTCGGTAGCGGAGACATTATGGCGATGTAAATTTCATGGTTATCACGACTCTGGAAGCTCTATCGCCATCCTTTTTTTTCTGACCTGATCTGGCGTGTACGTAACTTGAGTTTCATCAAATAAACTCCAGCTATATCTGTTTAAGCGTAGCCATGCTCTTGAGGGGGCCGATCTTTAGAGGGTCGGCTTTCCATGCAACTGGAGTATGCTTCACGGACGGATGGGTGATACGTTTAATATCGGGGCTGAATAAAGTATCTAAGGAGTTTGACAACGCCTCGCAAATAAGAGTATCGCTATTCAGTTATTCGTAACAGAATCTCCGACAAACGTTGTGTACTGTGCAAGGAGTTTTAGTGCCCCCAAGGTGACCGTGCGAGGCCGCGAAGCCGGGAAAACGGTGACCAAGGAGGAGAGGACTGCGGGCTATTCGACAAAACATGATTGACAATGTGTATCGAATGCATAGGAAACATTACAGAAACTATTCGAAATGTCTATTCCAGTGCATATACTGATCGACTCTATAACACACCCGGAAATATGGCTTTCGCGCTAGGGTAGCCGTTATAGTTGCATATATTGACGGCACACCAGAAATTATACACGCCGTGGTAATGCTTTCAAATTGCTGTGTTATCCGGTACTAAGACTGTCGCCGGCCTGTGGCACACCAATTAGCAGAACAGTCACTACTGCTGGAGTACACCAAAAATCAAGAGGCGTAGGCCAGGTGGCAACTGCAAACAGCATAAAGGAACCAGACGCATGACATTCTCCCAGTTGTGCTCATGTCAACATTCGGCACAAATCTCTCTAGAACACCCAAGTGACATGTTTCGGCTAACGTAGTACTCATGCCAATACAGATGGCGGGCCTGGCGCCACTAATCTCACAGCTGGGGACACCTGGGGCCCCAAATGTGTACTGATCTCAACAACTCACACGAAGTCAAGATGGGGTGCCTCATGCTCAAGAAACAACAGAAGATCCAAAGCAATGGTCGATGGCATCTTATTACGCGTCTCCAACATCGTGGTATCTGCAGCTAGTTGGGTAGCATGCAATCGGTGCTGCCCGCCTTCATCTTGGTTGTCCGGTTTTCATCCGTGGGATTGACTGGTGGTGCAACCCAACCGGACTATCCATCGTAGATACAGGCTACAAACTCTCCCCAAGCTTTAAGCAAAACAAAATACGACTTGTCTTGCAGTGTGGTATGAGAGTACAAAAGAAAGATTCCGTGAGGGGTTGATACTATACCAGAACTAGCCAAACAAGAATGGACAGTACCGGTGGCAAAGGACCACAGTGCTATAAGCGAAACAAGAGAACGTTCTAAAAAGGGTGAAACTGGGCGCGTTGCACGGGATCTGGAAAATTGAAGAAAGTGGATGGTGATCGTTTGTGTACGGAGGAAGGGGGGAAGACACAACCCCTCTTCAAGAAGCTGGGTAGGTTGCCTCGCATGCAATGAGACCATACACCGATTCCAAGAGTGTTTTAATGTGAACTACTAGTATGCCAAGAAGCATGTCGATACCATATGTGTAGGGCCTAAGTTTCCAGCTAGTGCAGTTGCTGAGTATTGAAGACGCAAATTTGGGAGTGAACTCTAAGAGCCCGAAGGCGAGCAAGGGAAACTTGGAGGCCCAGCAGTTCAATACGATCCATTCGAGGAAAGTGAAATCTTTAACCTTGATAGCAGTCTCCTGTATTTCTGGCCGGCCCGCTGAGAAAATCGCCTTTCAAGCACTAGAGTAGCCGACACTACAGCACTCATTCGGTTCAAACAATTCCAGAGGCAAGCCAAATGGCACAGTCGGAAGCAAGGCTAGAGACACCTGGAACGCACCCATACAGCATAGCATGGCCTGTTCTGTCAAATAAGCTAGCAGGTTAGCTACGAAACAATCAAATTAGACTTCTGATAAGCAAGAGTTGGAGGCAACAGCGAAGGGCTGGCACTACCGATATACAAGGTTTCCAGCTGAAGTTTGAGTTTACAGGATGCATGACACAAGTGAGCAATTTCCAGAGAGAGTCGGGCCCATCATGATATATAGAAAGCCTTCGATACACGTCCTACGGGTATCCGCTGTCCTCATGGGTCTGTGCGAATGGGCTGTGCTCCTTGAATAAGAAACACGAAGGACTACACCACAAAGTCAATGTAACTAACTACGAGGTTGAAGGACTCGCATATTGATAGTCTTAGTAATTATATCCTCAGGATTTTACGATATATAGTGTTTCGTTCGTTTATCTACGGGCAACGGGCGCTTGGCGTAGCATCTAGTGCCTCAGCGTGAGTGCTACTTTGGAAATCTGCGAACTAAAGTCGGAAAGTGAGGGGATCAGGATACATCATGGATTGACGTATAGGGCATAGAACATACTTTAATAGGCCACTTCTCCATCTTTAGACACCGATCAAGAGAAGACCGCAAGAACTTTAGAGCCATTGGATAAGTCGCTGGAAGTAGGTAGCAGACTATGAAGCATGGAGGAAAACAAGTAAGCTCTGTGACAAAGAGGGATACAGCAGCAACGAATGAGGTAAACGCCTTTAGCAGGGACGGAAATGATGAGCATTTAAGGAGGCGAACTTTTGGAGAATGGGGATTACATCATGAAGCGCAGATACATCAGAAGTGGGAAGACATCACCAGAAGCAGACAACCATGCATGGAGGTGGAGCCTTTTTGTCAAATCCATGAGGGCAGGGAGCACAAAGATGATGGGCACGATTACCATAAAGAGTATACTGACGGTACAAAGCAAGACAGACATAAAGAAGGTGATGGAGACTGGTCCAACCGCGAAAAAGAAGGCGTGCAGAATGAAGAGACTTTCGGAGAGACTAGCAAAGTGGAAAGGCGTGGTGCTGCAAATAGAGCTGCGGAAGACAAAAAACGCTTGGGTTAGCCCAAACACTGTATGCATCAGGAGACGGAGACAGGAAAACGTTGGCTGTAGCACATATTTTCCGATGCTCTAGATGGCACACGAAAAAGCACGTGTGTAGTAGTCACTACACGAATAACACCGAATCTCGTCTAAGAATGGTGCTTCTTTCTTCTTCAAACTACTGGTACTTGATTCCTGAAGCACTGGAATTTATATGATGGCTCGCCGTCGTAGTGCCTCGTGTCTAATTTCCTTCCGCACAGCTCCATCGGCCCAGCGCCATGCGGACGGTGGCTGCATGTCGGAATCACATCCAGAACCTTTTAATATTCGTCTAGGCTCTCTTCTAGTCGAGATCAGTTCATTTATATTCTTGAGGTCTAACGTTCAAACCCTGTTCATAAGCGTACGCAGTTGTGCTGTTCACTATACTTTCCCCCCTGGCGACCACCCCAAAAACCCCTAGTGACTGTCTTGACCTCCGCCATCAGATTGCGCTGTGATAATCCTTCAAGGCCTTCGTCCTTCATCTGTCATGCAGGGGTTGCTATGAGCGTTTGACGCTCGGCTCTCTCGGTGTCGTTCAAGGAAGTTGGGCCTAGAAGAGCCTGGTGGCCCTAGCGGTCTGGACGGTACCCCAAGCAGATCCTGCCAGTTAACCGCTTCACCCCCCTTCTGTCGCCAAATGCTAGGGGCAGACGAAGTCTGCTATTGTGTGGTGAAGTTGTTTGCTCCGGTTCCGCTGTCAGGCGCGGAGGGGTGCCCGGCAACTGGAAAGGCTGCTTACTGGCTCGCAGGAGCCCTGCTTCACTGGCGTCTAGCGCCATTTGACAATACACCGGAATGGAGTCGCTTACTTTCCTTTCAGATATAATGCGGCTCACTTTATACATGTTTGGCGCTTGCTTTGCGCCGCCTCGGAAGGAAAGCCAAACGACAGTCTGCCTCTTGAAAAGTCTTCCCGAGGTCCCACAGTCGTCCTCCGACAACCAGAGGTACTTTAAAACCATTGTGGTATGTATATGAAGGAAATCAGGCGAAGAAGTTGGTCACTTGCCAATCCGGTCGACTACCAAAAATGGGCTGCGGTATAGAGGCTCTGTATTGGAGAAGGAGGAACCACCCGAGAGGCTTTGGCTGCTTAAGGACATTTTGTCTCATAGTAAATTCAGCTGCCTACCATTTGAAGGTGACATAAAATGGTTTGTGTCACTTAGCCCTGAGTATGACGTCGGGCCTGGTCATATACTTTCCGCAAAATTCGCGCCGTGGGGAGAGTAACTGGTGGCGCCAAGTCCCCAACTAAGCCGAATTTCTAACACAGTAATGTGGTTTTGGGAATTTCGACCAATCATAACTCCAGAAATAGGTGAATGGCTGGTAGGTTTGTAGCGAGCTCGAGAGCGGGAAGGCTCACGCTCCCACATTCTGGTTTTTGATTAATATACGTCCGTGGCATCTATTCAAGCTTTCTGTCGGAGCGTTCCGTCTTTACGCCGCTTTGGGTGTTCTACGGGGATGACAGTGCGCGGCGGGTGCTGAAACGCTAGCAAAGCTGCTACCACATGTCACACTGAAATTGTGGGTTCCAGGCAAAAAAGAAGGATTTGTAGAACCCCAGGGTATTAAGATCAGGCGATTGGCGAGAAGTTCAAGTATATCGGCTGCTATGCTAGTGTTGGTATTCGTAAGGAAGTGCGTAAACAATTGAATGAGTCCACCAAAGAAAGAGCTGAAATGTTCCCGCGCACAGCGGAAGAGCAATCCGTGACGAAGCCTAGACAAACCGGACAGTCTGGAAGTACTAGGCAATGGCTCAAGTAGGACACTGGGCTTCTGGGTTAGTGAAGCGGACGCTCGCCAGTGCACACATGACGCCACGTATGTTCTGATTTCAAGGCCGCGATTCCGGCCAGTAGTAGTGTCCACTCAAGGCCCGACATATCCTCAAATGCCTGCGGTGACGCGGTCATAGTGCCGGTACTGCACATGGCTACGGACTCCGGATCACTTAGGGACACAAGTGCGCCACAACTCATATGTGCAAATGTGCAGAGAGCGAGTTGTGCTATGGAACGCGTGTTGGCTGACGTTGAAGTCGAGGTGGCCTGCTGCTTGGCCACTGTCAGATACGTGTATTCTAACAGAAGCGCTTCATGAGACGTTTGCTGAAGCCTTGCCAATTTCCATATTTGCCCCTGCAGTCTGCAGGTATAGCCAGTAATGCAGCGCAGGACCCGTTACATGTCTTGGTAGGCCAGCGTCTTCCTGGGTATTCCTGATTCCTCCCTTTAGAACACCTGTTCGTGACGCGTCGGGGAGGTTCCTCGTGTCACTTTCGTCTTTGTGTGCCATTGGCTGATAAGGGGGTAGGCTCGTTAAGGATGCTGAATCGCATTTAACCGCGTTTAGGACTTGCCACGTCCAGCTGTAACTGGGCCTCAACTTTTATATACATCTTGAGACCCGTTTCACTTTATCCCCACTAAGGGCATCTATGCTTGCGGGTTCGCTTTGAAGTGAGCTTACAGCAACTATGGTTCCTCTGTCTTCTTAACCTCTTGGCTCTATTGTCCCCTACCTTTGATATCTTGGATTTGACATTTCAAAAGTGTCTCCAGAGGTTGCACCTAACACACGCTGGGGCAGGTTTAACCGATGTCGTTCACCCGTCTTCTGCTACATACCTGAGTATCAAATACTTCCTTTCTAAGAAATTGAATTTGTTGAGCACTACTCGTGGAAGCAAAGGAGTTTCCCCGGAATTCGCTTCCCATATGACCTACGCTCTAGATGCTACGCCAAGTTGCTGCGTTGTAGATTTCACTAAATGACCCAACGTGATATGCCGTCTCACAAAGGGGCTTTCACCTGCTAAATCGATTACAATTGAAGCCTTAAACCCTCAAAATCCAATATACAGACCTTCCGGCGCTGTCCTCCTTGCGCGCTGTGTTCGCATGCACAACCTCACTAGGACGGTCGCTACATTTCATGTCATTCTAAAGCTTTTGCTGCCTTTGCCTGGGTTTGTTCGCTATTCAGAATCAGCCAAGCTATATCTGTAAACTTTCGTGCTGAAACGTTTGCCGATCTGCGTGTGATATCGTAGTGTTGCGTATTACATTCTTCCTCTTCATGGCGACATGCTCTTCGTTGTAAGCTCGACAGTTTTCTACAGTGCTCGGGCGTAGAACAAATTGCTGTTCAAGACGAATTTCCTCCCAAAGATAACGGTCTCTCGAGAAGTAAAGGGCATGTTAAGTGTTGATTCCGTCGGTCTTTTTCCTTACTGAGTCAATGATCAAGAACGCCTAAGAGGGTAATAAGCTGCAAAGTCATTTCATTGTTCTCTTTGTCACCTGTGGCTGTGGAGACAGCAACACACTCTACTTCTGGAATGAACGCGCAGCCAAAGGGTACAAGAGGGGCGGCACTTATTGGGTTCAGTTGCTACCTTATGTACGGGGGTGAAACTGATCACGTAGGACACGTCTTCTTGAGGGTTGGCCTTCGCTACATCTCGGTTAGCCACCTCAATTGCCAGTTTTTGGGGGTTGAATACACGAGTATCCCGAAGGTGCATGCCCAGATCCTGTGGTGGCAATTCTTATGTAGTTGAGGGCAATAGATTTCGGCACAGGAGGTCAGTAAATAGTTTGTGTTCAGCAAGCCTGGCGAAAAGCTACAAGAAACAAATGATCGATATTTACAGATACAGAATTTGACTAAAGCTAATGATACGCCTATGTGCACCTATTGTGCAGCTGGAGGTCCACCTTTGTTCTATCAAGTTTGTAGTAGACACCTTGGCATGCTAAAATGATCATGTAGTCAGACTCATCAGCCTAGAACCTTCTGCTTAGCTCTCCACAGATATATCTGAATCTATCCCGCCATCACACGGATCGATCCAAGCATTTTACGGATGCTGCAAAGCGAGCATGATGCTGGGAAGTATGAATCCGTGTTCTAGCGGGTACCTTCTAAGACTAACTAAACATTATTCCTGGGTTCAACTGTTCTCTTATGATAAGACATTCTGTATGAGAGTCCGCTCCAGTGCACCTGCCAACCAGCTGAATGCTCCCCTGGCGTATGCAGGTGTGCAAGGTGCACCCCGGAGGCTGCAGCCTCACAGCTTGTCATTGCATGCATTTAGATAGTATTCCGGTGGATAGCTCAGCGGGGCAGAGCTCTCTAGGCTTTAAGTGTGAGCTGATACCGTGTAATTTGTGAATAAGCTAACGGCAAACCTTCCCTACAAGCAAACGGCTCTTTTAGCGTCTTACAGGGAGTGTAAATTGCCATAGACAAGAGTGACTGCGCCGCACGATAAAGAACAGCTGGAACCGCGAAGGCCCCTCGGCGACCGCACAGGTGATTTCTTTGATGTACTTTATTGTAAAGTCATACTGCTGGAGGGACTTGATTCAGCACAGGCTTGTAGGATTACCGAATTTCAAAAACATTTTGTAAAGTAAAATCCACTGCTCTGTTTGGACAATAAACTGCTGAGCATACAAAAAGTGCCGGGAAAGGGACTCAACACACAGCGTAGATATCCTTTTGCAGCACTCAGTACCGTTGCTTGGTTTGGGTGACGCAATGAGAATAGCAAGCAATAATTTGTTGATTTGGAGAGGCATTAGTTTGTTTGGACGGAATAGCATCCACCACAAAGTCACTAGCAGCGCTCGCTACGGAGGAATTGTCACTCGCAGGGGGGCAGCGCAAGTACCGGAGGAGTTGTAATGCAGTCGATAGGCGTCTTCCTCCGGCAGCAGCCTTCTGTGTCGAAGCCATACACTGCGTCTGTATATATCAATCAAAGGAAGAGCCATCCGAGAAAAACCTGAGGTGCAATGTCGGCCATAAGATACATACCCATAGAGCTTCGCACATCTTTGGGTGTCGAGTACAGGTGAAGGCCACTCCCGGAATGCTTCAGTTTTTGCCACGTCTGGCTCCATTACTGCAGCCAATACACAGATTCTCAAGCGCATGAGTGTTTCTACAAGAAAAGGGCTTTCGTATCTATACATACACTTGCTAGTCCAGCAACAGCTGAAGGGCAAGTCGTAGGTGCTGGAGGTGCCGCTCAACTTTCTTGTGCAGGTGAGCACGAGCAGTAACCATTCCAAAAGGTATAGAGCTAACTTTTAGCTTGGGAGTGCAAATGTGGGATGCCGTTTCATGCTCAGTATTAGGGTGAATGGGGAGTTGCAAGAGAGCATCGGTGAAGGCAAAGGTCGAGTAGGCTGGTGGTACTCCTATTCTGGCTAGCAAATATCCAATAAGAGGCATCGAGAATTTCCTTTTTGCAGGGACTTTTTCTGGATCTTGAGACTAGTGCACATGCTCTTCTATAATCCTTTCCCGCCACTAACACCGGGCCACGCCTAGCAGCGCTGGTTGATTTCAGTACTTTGGCTTATTCCAACAAATCCTCCTCCTGTGTTAGATCTGCTCGTCACGCTGTGAAAGCTTTCGATACCGGGGAGTGCCACTTGCTGCTGGCCCGATATCAGCTCAATGCAATGCGCTGGACGACCAGCAGGTGGCCAGTCTGGTGGTAGCTCGTCATGGTATAGTATATGCGCGGACTCCCACTTGATAGTTGCCCGTTCCTGCCGTTTTCGTTCCTCCACTAAAAGCCAGAAGGAATTTGTTGATACAAAGCCAGCGGCAGAGCTACCAAGACACGGTGCATTTTCAGGCCTAGTACTGCGCTGCGGACTTATCCCGATGAAGACTTTGTTTTTTCTTGCCGCGGCATTGACTCTTCCTCGCCACAGATGAAATTAACTTTATTGAGAAAGCAGACATTGCTTCTTTGTGGCGCTTTCTCTTCACACTAGCCCTCGCACCGTGGAGTTGTGGCCGTATGTACGCCTTTCGTGAGCTCACCCATGGCTTTCAAAGGATAACGTCAGGTTGTACGGCCATGGACCATGCTTTTAGGATCCCATCCAGGATTGGTTTACCATTAACCTGCCGTAGAATTGCCAATGGTTCGCTCACTGAGAGTCTTCAGCAAACCGAATCTTAGGGACTGGAATGACGTGTGATCAGCAAGGTTTCTCTTCTGCGTAGTTTCTTCGAATAGCACATTCACATCGCATTCAAGGTCGAATGGCGCTACAAATTGTTACCCATTAGATTTGTACTGTAGCAGAGCAGGATTGGCGGGTCATAGATTCGCCGATATTGTGACTTTGGGTACACTAAAGTGTCTAATTTCTCGATACACTGATCTTTTGATAAAATTGCCGGCTCAGGCTCTCTCTATTCTCCGTAGGACTGGATTTGAGATGATCCCGGCCTGAATCGAGGAGTCAGAGCCCCTCTGAAGCCTTGAGCCCAGTATAATTTATCCAGGCACAGCATTATCGGCATCCGTAGAGACACAACATTATCGGCACCCGTAGAGACACCACCTAAGTGCTTCTTCCTCCAATGAACATGCCGTTGGTAGTTTTCTGTTCGTGGGCTGTGCAAAGAGAGGTGTATCATATATACAACCGATTATTAAATGTTCGAGAATTTGTCCATCTGTACGGTGGTCGATTTTTAGTTTTGGGCAGAACCTCATTGACATATCTATTAAAATGTTATCGGCCGTCAGCACATTCCATTCTACCAAGGAGCTACTACCCTGACTTCACGTTGCACACTGGTTACTGCCGCCTCAACAGGCGTTGTGCAACCATGAACGTTTATCTCCAAGCAGTTTTTTTCCAGCTGGTCACAGTACTGATTTACCAAATAAGTTGATCAGATTTACACACCTGTTTTAGGAAAACCTGGCAACCTACTGCATCCCCAGCCGGTGGGATGAGGGGGTGATAGCTACATCGGTTCCCGTAGATCGACATTGATATGTAGACTCAATACAAACTCTTAAAATGATCGGGATTTTCCCTAAACTCCAGTTTTTCCTTGCATTCGCCTTTCGGTGTTCTCAAAAAGAGTGGAGAAGAAGAGCTGTGATGGGCGTAACAAGCTGCATAGTTTGAGAACTCCGCCCATTGACACC